CGGCCAGTGTGGTCCAACCTAGCTATCGGTATCGGCAAAATCCACTATCGGTCGACCTCTAATTTAAAGTCATCCCTCACTTTTTTTTCTTTTCTTTAATAGGTGAATAACATGTGGCAGGTTCAGATGCAGCAGTTGCTCCAGCTCAATGGAGGTCACCAGCAGGGCATGCAGCAACTGCGCAGTCCTGCAGACAGTAATCCCTGGCAACAGGATTGGTCCGGCCAGCGTGGTCATCGCCACCCTCCCCAGGACAATAGCAACCCTGGCAGAGATCAACGGCAGGGCCACAGCGGGAACAACTATGACCGGCATCGGCGCGACAGCCAGCGAGGTGACTTCTATCACCACGATGACCGCAGCGGAGGACACAACAGAAATCACCCTCCTGAAAGACGGAGAGACTCGAGAGAGGGACGATGGAAACCCTTTTAAAAGCATTTTAGTTCTCCTGTAAGCATTTTTAATCAACTGTTTTAATAACCTTTTGTTATCCTCCAAGATTTTTAAATTTTCTATTTTGTGGATTGCATCTTAACGGTTTAAAAAAAAAAAAAAAAAGAAAGTTAGCAGTACAAAAGCACATTTTTGACATAATGAGGTTAAGGCATTTAGATTGGAAGTTGTTTTTAGAGATGCAAGAACAAAAAAAATAAAAAATACAAAACCAGTAATAAATTGGCCATTTTGTGTGCTGACCTGTTTTAAATGTATATGTTGATCTCAGGGGGATACCTATGTTTATATAATTTTTATTTTTAAGAATGTCCTTTTTGAGATGTATTTCTGTACAACAGCAAAATGCATAAAAGAACAAAATATGGTAGATTTCTTTTTCTCTAGGGATTTGTAATTTCTCAGGATTTCTCATTTTGAAAAATAGAAAACTAGTTTTCAGGTGCTTTTGATGTTTAAAAAAACTTTTTTCTTTTTTTTTACAGATTTCGTGTTTACTCTCTACATTCCTCTTTTGGGGATGAGATTAGGATGATATTGATTATTCATCAAGACAGTCTTTGTAAACTTGGGAGCAATAACTAGTTTTAATACTTTGGTAAATACGCCATGTTTATTGTCAAGTGCAACAATTGGTTTCATAAAGTCACTGTTTACTGATCTCTTTCTGTCTGAATTTGTTGTTGAACTCTTACATTTGTTTACATCATATAAACACTATTGATTGTTTTAATTCGGCAAATATTTTTCAACTGGTCGATACATGAAGTAGCTCTAACAGGGATTTCAGTAGTCTATAGGTGGCGCCATAATTGAAGCATGTATAGTCATAATATTTTTTTCTTCTATACACAAGTATATTTAGAAGCCTATGTCTGTATGGATTCTAATGCAGGCTTAATATATTATTTCAGTAATGAAAATATAGGGTAAAGTGGGACCGTTTTTGAAGGATTTGCATAGGAGTAAAATCTTTTGAAAATTGTTCCTATTCATATCAGCTTGGTGGTGGTCTTGCTGGTTTTTGGCACATGATAACTGCTTTTGTAATGATCAGGTGATCTACGAGCTCTAACGAGCTTGGTCAAGTCTTCCAGGTCAGATCTGAATATTACGCTAAAATAGGTGGTAGGTAGCCTACTTAAAACGGATCCATACAATTTTGCAAAACTACATGTTTTTTTTTTTTTTGCAGAGGACCATTCAATCAATATTTAATTCACAGTCGTGTGTGTTTTTTGTTATTACATTATGTGTTTTCTTTATAGAAAGCGTTCTCACTTGCTAATAGTTTAGGCTATTTACATTTGTATTTGTCATAAATGTAAAGTTCCACAGAATAAGACTGCGTCCTGCATATTAGAGGGACATTAATCATGAAACGTATTTGCCACTTCACTTGTGTAAACTTTTACATTTTAATTTAAGTGTAAAAAAAAATAAAAAAATAGACACGTGTGCATTAGCTTATACTGTGCGTTTAAACTTAAAACATTAGCTAAGTCTTTAATCACGAGAGAGAGAGAGAGAGAAAAAAGTCAAATTACCATGGACCACAATTATTGTTTTTACTGTAAATAAATATGAATAACCTATTGAATCTCGGAAGCTTTCAGAACGTTTGTCATCTTCATTCCTTCCTTCTTTCTTTCTTTCGTCGAAAACGGTAAATGTTTGAAAAGGTTTCATGAGCACTTGAACTGGACCTTTAATAGTCGTAATAATTAACGGCACTGACCCGCCTGTGGTTGCGTTAGAACAACCGACACATCAGGCAGCGGGATCCTAATAGTGCCTGATCTGAGGTCATAATCTGCCCTTCCGAAACTGCTTTAGCTGCTATCAGCGGCTCCCGGTGTGCATGAAGCCGAGCATCCTCACAAAGCTCCCGGATCCAGAAGCGCGCTGAGCCCCGAGTCTCTGCTTGAATCTGCGGAGGATCGGGTTATAATGAAGCTGCTGTACTGGGAAAGGCGTTATTGGGGAGCTCAGCCTCTGCGCATTCACTGCTTAATTGATTGAGCTGCTTGGCGTCCGGAATCCAGAAAGCGGTGGCTGCATGTGGCCCTTCACCCCCGCCAGCCTTTCACCACTCTATTAAAATCCATACATTGTTGTATGAAAATAAATTAATATAATGTCTCTGTACGTAGCCTATACGATATATACATAACTTTTATCAAACTGTTCTCACCCCATCATTAAAAAAAAAAAAAATTTAAAGTTTCTATCTTTTTCTTAATTTTAAGAGTATTGGAATATTCTTCCTTTTCAATTCCTATTTTTATTTATGCACGAGTACACAGAGAGAGAGAGAGAGAGAGAACAGGCTGTCATATCATCAATCATTTTCAGAAAAAAAAATGGGAATGAGAATTGAATGTGCAACACATCACTGGAAGAACATAAAGTATAAAGACATGTTTAGGGTCAGAATTATAATTAAGGATTTAAAAATGATTACATGATTATTGTTTTGTAAGTCTATCTATCTATCTATCTATCTATCATCTATCTATCTATCTATATATCTATCTATCCATCATCTATCTAACTATCTGTCTGTCTATCTATCTGTCTGTCTGTCTATCTATCTATCTATCTATCTATCTCTAATCTCCAGGCGCTGTGTGCAGTTCACAGGTGCCATATGAACACTTCCCACTATACCGTCTGTTTATCTTGATATTCTGTTGTATCCCTCTGTTTTAAAGCCAGCAGCAGTTGTTCTCATTTCTTCCCTTTGATCAAGGTCCCCAACCCAAAAGAGCTCAAAGCTTTTTCCAGTGGAGATCTCTATATTTCCTTTACATAATCCCTCACGCTTTGAACGCGGCGGCTGTTATCTCGGATCCTCTGCGAGTTATATTTACTCTCATACATGGGGAAAATGATAATCATTTGGACAGCGGACACACGGCTCTGAAAAGCAGAAACCCGACACTGAGCTCGATGAAGGAGTTCAGTGCGCCACGAACATCAAAGCAGCGGTCCATCTGTAATAAGCATCATAATGTCAAACAAAACTGCTGCTGCTGCTGCTGTCTGGAAAGAGCTGTCTTTCTCACTCGTTCTGTAACAAAACCGAGAGAAATGTCTGTTCACCTCCATCATTTCACACGGTTAATACTGTCTGAACTTACTGACACTGATATGAGAAACACGAACACCTGTCGATTCTGCCTCGTAATTCACGAACGACTCTTACAGAAGCAGCGCAGGGAAATACTGCTTAATGTTACTTTATTTATTTATTTATTTTACAACGATTTTCGTTAGAAATAGAGAGAATAAATAAATAAAAATAGGGCAGGAATTAGATAAAAATAAATACACTTTTTCAGAAACGCCACTGGAATTATCTAGGCATTTCTACAGTTATATCGCCAATTATTCAAGTCTAGATTGCACTTTTAAGTATGTTTTAG